AGTATACTAATCTAGCACTTTCCAAACAACCCCTTAATATGTGGAGTAAACAAGTATAGACCATATCATCTATTTTGGAACATTCTAATCTCTTGCCATTTGAAAAGGGTTTGAAAGCAGAAATCTCGTGAAAACAAGGTAACTAACGCGTGAAGAGATCAAAATCATCCTAACTTAGGCAATGATGCCTCCATACAATGAGCAATCATAGAGGTATAGCACGTAAGCATATAGCCTCATGGTAGCACATGCTAGACATTATAAAAAGGCAAACACACACATGTTGCAACAGAAAGGAGAAAGGCTCACTGAGTACTCCTCTGCACCATGCCGTGAGCGTAAGGGGTTAGAAATCAATGCATGATCTTAGATGTGAGACTAGATGATATGCAAAGAAAAATGAAAAGGAGACTCAATGGATACTCCAGCCAAGTGCAATAAAAGACAACTAATTAGAAATATACATGATCCTAGATGCAATAATCTATAAAATGTAATCACTCATGAAATGAATCCTACGAGCTTGATTGCTAAAGATGGCATACGAGTCATTAAATGAAACACACCACATAATGATATATATCAACACATAATAATCCGGGCTCGGATGCATGACTCTAATCTAAACATGTGAATATCATGATAGCAAATAAAACTATACTAAGAGGTAGAATGAGAGAAGAAACCCATTCCAATGCACACAAGTATAACAACTAATAGCTAAGATAAAATACACTGAGGAGGATAAGGAGGTTCCAGCCTTAATAGGCGGAGGAAACCATACCTTGGTTTCTACATCATCAATACTCAATAAAGCTATAAAATAAAGAAGGCTCTAATGAGGGTAGAGAGATTCTCACCCTCAAACACATGAAAAGGTGTGTAAGTTACCTAAATTCATGAAATAGCAACAAGGGATGAGATTCAATCTACTCTTACGGAGATGTGGAGGAAACCATACCTTGGTTTCTACATCATCAATACTCAATAAAGCAATAAAATAAAGAAGGCTCTAATGAGGGTAGAGAGATTCTCACCCTCAAACACATGAAAAGGTGTGTAAGTTACCTAAATTCATGAAATAGCAACAAGGGATGAGATTCAATCTACTCTTACGGAGAAAACCCTTCCTGGACTTCTACATCAATAAAAACAATCAAAATAACAGAAAAGGAGAAACTCTAATGATAAGAGAGGGCTTTCTTTCTACTTATGAAAATGAGTATAAACTACTCAAATTCATGTAAAAGAGGTTCGGGAGGAGAGATCCGGTCTCTTTTCATGGAGGAAGCCGTGCGTAGATTTCTAACTCATGATAAATCAAGAAAAAGCAAGTCGGACTTGGCCAAAGTCACTATACATGCCTCCACTAGCTACAGAAAGAGGTAGAAGAAAGAATCCAACTATACTATCAACAACAACCCAACATTGATCTTAAGATCTCAAGATTACTCTGATAAGAATAGAAATTACAAGAAACTTGAGAATGGAAGTAGGGATTATCTCTAAGCTAGTAGAGATAGGGCCCAAGCTGGTCATTGTTGGATTTGGGAAATTATATTTTTATATTTATAGTAGTTTGCTATGAAGCATGGGTGTGGGAATGGATATGATATGGGTACACCGATACGATAAATTCTTAAAAAAGTAGGGTACAGGTACGGGGACGATTATGCTACGTCAATTTTTTTTTTTTTTTAAAAAAAATTTATAGCTAAACATTCAGCATACAAATCAAAGTTTCAATATCAAAACTAAAAAGAGAGTAACTTATCTAAAAAGTTATATAATTATTTATTTTTCTTTTTTGATTGTCTAAAATAGGATGTAAAAGAGAGCATAACTGTGATTTGTGATTTATGGGTAAAAGGTGTTGGAAATAAATTACTTGATATTATCAAAATCGAAAGAAGAATAATACAAATTATAGTAGCTGCAAAAAAAAAAAAAAAAAAAAAAAATTCACCTCGCCGTACCAGTGTCATACCCATGATGTATCCAAATGTATTTGCCATACCCGGCATGCATTCGTCGTACCTAATGCACATACCGCCGTATCAGTATGCGTACCCGCACCCGGTAAGTACCCGGTACTTGTACGACATCATTTTTGGAGTACTCGTGTTCCATAAGTAGTTTGTATAAAATCCGTGATTGTATAAATCACATATTTAGTGCCGTAATTTCTTTGTTTCCTAAATTGTAATATTCATTCCTTATATATACATGGCTCTACCTCATTCAAGGGTAAGCCAAACATTCTTCATTCTTTTTGGTATCAGAGCCAAGTTTTAGAAACCCTGGACCACCTTCTCATACCTGTCAGCACCTCTCCTTCACTGCCCAGCACTTTCTTTATCTCCTTCCTTCCTTCTTTAGTTGCCGTCAACCCTCCTCTCCTCTCTAGACCACTTGACAATCTCACTCACCACTCCTAGACCACGCGAAATCACTTACCCATCCTCCTATACCCTTTGGTAAGTTGGATCACACCTGCTGAGGCTCATCTTGCTGTTGACCGAGTTTCATCCTGGTCTAGAGTGATTTGACACCCCCTCTAGGGTGGTTCGGCTCCTATTTTTTCCCCTTTCGGGGGTGTAGTGCTGATGTATTAAGCACCTCTCTTCTGTTTTCGTTGCTTGTTGGGCTAGCAAGGTTTGTTTAGTAGCAGTTCTTGGGGTAAGTTATCGTTTTTCTTGCTCTTTTGGACTTATTTTTTTGCTGTTATTAGTGCATTGGTGTGTGATTTATAGACCCTTTCTCCTTCACTATGATTGAGCCACCTTCTACTGTGGCTATTGAGGTTTCCATGAAACCCGTTCCGGTTAATCCTGATTTTTCTCTTTCTTATCACTCATGTTCACTGTATTATAAGTATAGTGTAAATAGGAAAAATTTTGCTGCTTGGAGTCATTCCTTTAAACTATATTTAGGGGGCAAGGGGAAGGCTCATTGGTTTTTACCTACTATGACCCAGCTTGCAACCACAGATCCTACTTGTATCCAGTGGGATATTGACAATTGTACTATCCTGGGTTGGATGTTCAACTCCATGAGGGACTGGATTTATCATATATTCCTCTACTGTGATATTGTGCCGAGCCTATAGAGTGTATTGATATAGATGTATGCTCATGCTCATAATGATGCTCTCATCTTGAGTTTTATCAGGATATTGCTCGTGCCTCTTAGTCTACTTTGGGTCTCTCTATGTTGGAGTTCTTTGGCTATCTTTAGGCTCGTTGGGAAGAATTGGCTGAATAAGAGCCCTTGACTGAGTTACTGACAAAACTTGCCTCGCTTGTGTCCAAGTGACCGTCAACATACTTTCCACTTTTTGATGGGTTTAAACTTTGAATTTGAATCTCTTCGAATTCAAATTTTAAATACATCACCTGTGCCATCTCTCTATAAGGTTTTCGCCACCATTGACAGTGATGAGCGTCGTAGGTGTCTTGGTCAGCCTAGCCCTCCTCCGATGTCATTGGTTTTATCTGATCATATGGCTCTTACCGCCAATTCTAGTTCTCGGGGCTCCACTAGTTCAGGGACTTGTCATCATTGTGGTACTCCACTGGTTTAGGCTCAGCTTGTGTCCCTCACCACTAGTTCTCATGATCCATCCTCTACTGCAACCACTCTTACTCTAGGTACTTCTACTGCTTTCCATGTTCGGTCTGCTAGTCCTTTATGGATTCTAGATTCTGGGGTTAATGATCATATGACAGATGAGTTTTCCTTTCTTTCGTCTCTAGTCCCTATTACTATTGCCCAATCTGTTTTCTTGCTGATGGTTCTTCATCCTCTATTCGTCATAAGGGTGTGGTGTCTTCATCTCCTCACATTACTTTATCTTCTGTTTTACATGTCCTCAATTTTGCATATAATCTCTTATCTGTTAGTCATCTTGCCGAAACCTTTAATTGTTCTGTCATCTTCTTATCCTCTTCTTATTTTTTAAAGGACCTGAGTTCAAAGAGGATTTTTGACAAGGGTTATGAGCGTGATGGGCTTGACTACTTTAGGAATCCATCGGACGGACTTTTTTTTTAGTTTTTTGGTGTCTGTTTTGTCTACTTCTATATCTTGTTCCTGTACTATTTAGATTTTCAAATTTATGGCATGCACGTATGGGTCACGTCAATTTTCAATATTTATGTCGACTTTTTTCTTTATTAAATAAAGCTTGCAAAGATTCTAGATTTCACTGTGTGGTTTTTGAGTTATCTAAACATACGCGTACTAGCTACGTCTCTCATATGATCCATGCCCCCAGTGCTTTTGATCTTACCCATTCTGATGTTTGGGTTCCTTCTTCTATGACTGCTTTTTCTGGTCATAGATATTATATCTTTATTGATGATCACACTGGGTGCACTTGGGTTTATTAGCTTCGTCAAAGTCTGACACGTTTTCCATTTTTGTTTAGTTTTTGGAAATTGTTAAAACTTAGTTTCGTGCAGTTGCTAGGAACATTCGTTCTGATAATGGTGGGTAATACAGTTCTAATGAATTTCGTTCCCATCTTAATTAGATTGGTATTCTTCAACAACTTACTTGCCCTCATCTGTCATGTCCTGCATCTTTTGAAATTTTTTGTCCCATGTGATGTGTCTGAGCTTCGTAGGTGACAAGTCATTCGAGCTGAGCCTGCTTGTGAACTGATTTGAACCTAGCTCAAACAGAAATATTCAAGCCCAATTTTGAGCTTTAACTAAGCTCAATCACGCTCTTTTCTCAGAGAACCAAGCGCGAATACCTCATACTTGGCTTAGCACACGTCATTTATTTGCAGGCCTAGTGCTAGCTCTGAATAATGTTAATTCCTTGAAAACTGGTTCAAGAAAGATACCTAGGTTAGCTATGTTGGACACTTGGACCAAGTATTATTGTTTTAAATTTATTGATAACTTGTTAATAGATTCTTTTTAGTATTACTTTGCTTGGAATCTTTTGTTATTTCCTTCTCGTTGAGTGTACGAGTAATCTTTTGAGTGCAGGTACGTTTAAGCTTTCTCTGCAGTTCTCAGAAGATTACCCGAACAAGCCACCAACGGTCCGTTTGTGTCACGGATGTTCCATCCAAAAAGTATGTCATCATCCTTGTTATAAATCTTATTGTTGATAAATTACAGGCTGCCATTGTTTTCAATCTACATTTATCTATGATCTTTGCTACCTGGAGTTATGTGGGTATTCCACTTTTCTGACAGTCTCCGGAATCAATCAGTCTATGCAGACGTGAGTATATGCTTGGATATTTTACAGAATCAGTGGAGTCCTATATATGATGTGGCAGCTATACTCACTTCTATACAGGTTTGGCCTCTTGATTTTAAGAAAGAAATGATGGGTATGTTTGGTTTGCATTTGGGAGATGAGTTTTAGAAAAAAATTTCTAAAAAATTGTTTGGTTTGAGTTTTTCTCAAAAAATTTCCAAAATTACTCTCTCTCTCTTACACATCAATCAATCAATTTTTCTCTTTCCTCTCTCATTCTCCAAAAATATCAAATCATCCCAAACTCCAAAAAAAACAACTCTCCCAAAATATACAACCAAACAATCCAAAAAATTTCTAAACTCTCTCCCCAAATTTTTTTTCAAAAACAACTCACCCAAAAACAAACCAAACAAGCCCGATATGTCCTCTCAATGTTTTGAGTCTTTTAGTTTTTGATTTTTTTTTTCAAAAAAAAAAAAAAAAAAAAAATTACATATGGGTTATTGCTCTTTTCATAAAACGTCACTTCTATCCAGGTTTGCCTCTTGATTTTAAGAAAGAAATGATGGGTATGTTTGGTTTGCATTTGGGAGATGAGTTTTAGAAAAAAATTTCTAAAAAATTGTTTGGTTTGAGTTTTTCTCAAAAAATTTCCAAAATTACTCTCTCTCTCTTACACATCAATCAATCAATTTTTCTCTTTCCTCTCTCATTCTCCAAAAATATCAAATCATCCCAAACTCCAAAAAAAACAACTCTCCCAAAATATACAACCAAACAATCCAAAAAATTTCTAAACTCTCTCCCCAAATTTTTTTTCAAAAACAACTCACCCAAAAACAAACCAAACAAGCCCGATATGTCCTCTCAATGTTTTGAGTCTTTTAGTTTTTGATTTTTTTTTTCAAAAAAAAAAAAAAAAAAAAAATTACATATGGGTTATTGCTCTTTTCATAAAACGTCACTTCTATCCAGGTTTGCCTCTTGATTTTAAGAAAGAAATGATATGTTTAACTTTTTTATTTATTTTATTTTATTTTATTTTTTGTTAAAAAAAATAAAAATTACAAATTACATATGGGTTATTGCTCGTTTCAAAAAACTTCAGTGTGTTTGAGATTGCCATCCTTGAAACTTCCTTTCAAATTTAGGTTTGTGTTTTATAGAATTTTCAATTATTCCCATCTTTAACCTTAGTTTTTATAAAAGTTGATCAAGTGAAGTATGAATAGTGGATGTTTCTTGACTGTTCACAAATAATAGGGATTTTGATCCTTTTGAATCTACATAGTACCAAGTCCAAATTTTTGAAAGTAAGGCAAAAAGCAAATATAAGAAAAACATAGAGGCTACGCAATTCACGTCCATGACATTGATCATCAATATTTGCATCTCATTGAGTCCTTGACACAGGCTGAGTTTTGACCACTTCATTGTACAACTTATTGGGAGAGTAATGGCACTGGAATTGTAACCTATCAAAGGAAAAAATAACAAATGAATAAAACTAGTGGAGATGGAGATGGAAAACAATGACCATCAATATTTGTATCTCATTGAGTCCCTGACACAGGCTGAGTTTTTAATCACTTCATTGTACAACTAATTGGAGATTAATGCCATTGCAATTGTAAGCTATCAAAGGAAAAAGTAATAAAGGGAATATTACAAAACAAACCTCAGGGTTTGAGCCTTGTAACAAAATAAACATTGAGTTTTTAATTTTGTCAATTTAAACCCTAATCTTTTGAATTTATTTCAATTCTAAACCATTCGGTTATTTTCATCAATTAAAACTGTCGAAAGTAGTATATTTTAGTCATTAAACTCAATGAAAATGGATATTTTAAACATTTTTTTGTACAACTACATTGAGTTTAATGATTAAATTACTTCTTTTTTTTCCCGTTAGTTTTTACTTGACAAAAATAGGCAGATGGTTTAGATTTGAAATAAATTCAAAAGATTAGGGTTTCAATTGATAAAATTAAAAGCTCAAAATTTATTTTGTTGCAAGGCTTAATACTTTTTTTTTGTAATTTCCCCAATAATAAATGAACAAGAACAAGTGGAGGTGGAGCTGGAACATTTGTGTTCAAAAAATATGATTAGAATCAGTAAACCAATCCAATCAGGTCCAAATTACCAGCTTGGTCTTGGTTTTTTTTAACTTCGGTTCTAGTTCTAGTTTGGAGATGATAGAACCATACCGAACTGTGATGTATTTGCACTTTTGTCAAATTGAGCAACAACTTTTTTGGAACAGAACAGAGCAGTAGCTGAGGTGAAAGGTGTTCTACTATGCAACAGAAGCATTCTGGCAACAGAAAAATGTGCTTTTCGGGTGGAAATTCGCGCATACATGAGCATCCCTCGTTTCCCGGGGCTAATTAGTTAATTTAGTTACTTTATTTCATGTTGTATTCATGTTGTAATTAATTAGTTAGCAAATTAGAATTTTGTAATTAATTAATTAGTTAGTTCCAATTTGTGATAATTAGCTAGAATAGTTAATTAGTTGTGATGTTGTAATAACTAGCTAGCATAGTTAGTTAATTCGATTTGTAATAGCTAGTTAATTAGTTTAGCTAGTTAGTTTATTCGGACCCTCCTGTGCAAGGGCAAGCAGTTGTAATAATGTGTATGTCCTCTTATCTCATGTCTTTCTCCCTTTTATTTACCTGCTTATGATGGTTAGATTAGGGCATCATGTTTCATTTAGCATATATCATGCCTTGCATGCATTGGGCTCGGCATATCATTCTAACTTACATGACTAGTTAACACTTCTTTGAATACGTGCTTAGACCGCATGCTATCAAATTGATTCACATGTTACGTTAAGTAGTCGAGCCTATTTAGATTGCATATCGCATGTGTTGCAGTAGTCATATTGCATAGGAGTACCCTGTGAGTGTTTATGTTTCAGCATCTTGCATGTGTGTAAGTGTTAACATGACAGCATGCTTGCCATGAGGCTAATTGCTTATGTGATATAACTGCCTGAATGTCTGTGGATGAAGGTTAGATTGCTTGAATTAAAACAATTCATTCAAAATGTATGTTTCAAGCCCACTTGAAAGTGGCAAAATCATGTTTTCTTAAGCCCACTTGAGGGTGGCAAATTCACGTCTTAGCCTACTTGCAAGTAACACCTTCAAACCATTTTTAAAACAAACATGAGATGTTTTGTTCCAATTCAGGTG